AAGCCATTTCTCTTTAGCGCTGAGTGATGTCGCTTGGTGTGGATGGACTGCAGTCTCTTCACCCGTCACCTCGTGGAGGACGTCTTGGTTCTTCCAAGTTTGGGTGGTTGTGGGTAAGCTGCCGTAAACATCCGTGTCCAGGATTTTGTGTAAAGGCCCAGAAGCTCGACTGCTGGGTCGCACCGTGCAACAATGTTTGTTTTTTTGAGAAACTATCAAACCCTTCCACGGTGACTGTGTGGTTTCAGGTCCCCACCAGCAAGGCAGAGTTCCTGTGACCCCCCCTCCATGCTATGCAGCTTGTGTGGGTGTGGGGGGTTTGGGTCCTTCTCATAGGTGTGTAGTGGGCAGCTGGGTGTTCTCGTTTGCATTTCCCGAAGACATACTGACTTGGAGATTTTTCTTGTGCTCATTTGCCATCTGTAGGTCTTCTGGGGGAGGGGTCTGTTAAGGTCATTGACCCATTTTAAAATTCTTACGTGCAGTTTCAGTCTGCTGGGTATCAAGTTCTAAGTGGGTTTTTTTTGGCATTTCTTAGATGGCAGTCCGTGATCAGGCGTGTCTCTTGCAAATATTCTGTCTGGTTGATCTTCCCGTTCTCTTGACCCTTGACCTGGTTGTTCCCGGATTGGGAGTTTGTAGCTTTCACAAAGTTCAGCTCATCAACTCTTCTATTGACCATGCCTTTGGTGTGGTATCTAAAAAGACATCCCCATAGCGAAAGTATCCTTTTTTTTTCCATCACGTGTGCACAGGTTTGTGTGTTTCACCTTGGCAGTCAGGTCTGCTGTGTTCTGACTCCCCATTCTTGTTTTGTGGGCACCGGGTCCCCACCTTGTTGGCTGCAGCCATGTGAGGGTTGGGGGTTCTGTTTGTTTATTCCTTTGAAATAGTCTTCTCTCTTCCTTCCCCCCAAATTCCTTCTTTTCTTTTGTTCTCTTCCATTGGTGGCTCTTAGAGGGAGACTTGCATGGCTGTTTGCGGTCATCCAGATGCAGGCAGCCGTGGGTCCTGGCTCGGCGGCCTGTGGGTGTCTGTCCTTGTGTGCAGCACAGTGTGCACCCACACCCTCCCGCCTGGACGTGGGTGGCAGAGTTCCTGGGTCTGTTGCTCCTGGAAGGTCCAGCCACATTCTCATTGCTCCCAGAACCTGTCTCCCCCTTTATCTGTTTGTCTTTGTTGCTTGGGCACCTATTCATTAGTGATTTCAACAGCGAGCCGAGTTTGAATGTGTGTGTTTGGTCCGTTCTGTGTTCCCAAAGGATTTGTCATCCTCTGTGTATATTAGGAGAATGGGCTGTCTGCAGAAAAGGAAGCATTACAGTAAAGGTCGTTTTAAATTTTAATTTTTTGAATAGGTAATAGCAGCAATAAACTGTCAAAAATGCACTGAGGCGCGGCGTCCAGCCGGCTCATTCACTGGAGCGTGAGACTTTTATCTTAGGGTTGTGAGGCCAGGCCCTACGTTGGGTGTAGAGATGACTTAAAAATAAAATCTTTGGGGCGCCTGGGTGGCGCAGTCGGTTAAGCGTCTGACTTCAGCCAGGTCATGATCTCACGGTCCGTGAGTTCGAGCCCCGCGTCAGGCTCTGGGCTGATGGCTCAGAGCCTGGAGCCTGTTTCTGATTCTGTGTCTCCCTCTCTCTCTGCCCCTCCCCCATTCATGCTCTGTCTCTCTCTGTCCCAAAAAATAAATAAACGTTGAAAAAAAATTTTTAAAAAATAAAAATTAAAAAATATATATATAATCTTTAACAACAGCAACAAGTGCACAGAAACCAGCTTGAAGGCCTGTGCTGGCATGCCCAGGCCCGTGGGAGCGTCAGGTTCACAGTGGGGTGGGTGATTTCCACCCAGTGCTGACTGGACTGGCACAGAACTGACAGGTGTCCTGGCGGTAAAGTGGGTGTGTTGGGTGCTGACCAGGAGTGGGAACGTGTGTGGTCTCAGCTGGTGACACAGGGCAGACCTGTACCCTCTGCAACTCCCGCAGACCATGGAGCTCCTGGCTGCTCCTGGGGGTGGGGGCCGGATGGCCAGGCTTCTTCCTGGCCTTGCGGGCACTCTGTGTAAAGGCTGCCCAGCGCCTGGGTGCTTGGCTTCCAGCTGTAAAGGCAGCCAGCCATAAACATCCAGATTCCCAAACAGTGTGCATTTGAGAAGGTGGCCAGCTCTTCTAGGTGCCTGTTTGGAAATGAAAGTGCCTGCCTATGGGGAGGTCAGGCCCTGGTGGCTCCTGTGCCCTGGGGGCTATGGGATGGAAGACCACTCCCTTGGGCCCAGTGTTTCTGCTCTGAACGAGGGGAGCCTGTGGCAAACGCAGTCCCTGATGCGGCCCATGGGGTCGCTCCCCCTGGGACTTCATGGCCTGTGTGCTGCCCAAGAGCCTAGATGCTGTCTGGCTCCGAATCCGGTCTGTGGGTGAGCGCTAAGCTCTGAGCACGTCACGTTGGTGTGGTTGGTTCTGGCCTGCGTCACTGCCGGGATGGTTGTTTCTGGCCCCTCTTGTTGCATGGTTGAGGAGCTTGCGTCCTGTGAAAGCCACAGCCATTCGGTGAACAGCATTCCCTCTGTGGGTTGTACATCAGTCTCTCTTCTGCTGCTTGGGAACCAGGTGTGGTCAGCTTCCACCCTGTGAGCTGTCAGAGGTCAGACCTGTCCTTCCGCCAGAGCGCCCCTGCGCTGCTGGCCCTGGGCAGCACAGAGACCCAGGGACCCCTGTCTCCACAGGTTTCTCTGGCCAGTGTTGCTCCCCCCAGTCTACAGCATGGGAAATATCTTCGCAAACCTCTTCAAGGGCCTTTTTGGCAAAAAAGAGATGCGCATTCTCATGGTGGGCCTGGATGCTGCAGGGAAGACCACCATCCTGTACAAACTGAAGCTGGGTGAGATTGTGACCACCATTCCCACCATAGGTGAGGAGACCGTGGGCAGGGGGCAGGGGGGTGCAGCAGGGTAAGGGCATGGGCCTCTCACTGCTTGGGGTGGCAGGCTGACCGGGGTCGTGGCCCCCACAGGCTTTAACGTGGAGACAGTGGAGTACAAGAACATCAGCTTCACCGTGTGGGATGTGGGCGGCCAGGACAAGATCCGGCCCCTGTGGCGCCACTACTTCCAGAACACACAAGGTGAGCGGAGGGGCTGTGGCCTGCGGGAGAGGCTGGGGCGCCATCGGCGCCCGTCCTGACGCCCACGGCTCCGCAGGCCTCATCTTCGTGGTGGACAGCAACGACAGAGAGCGCGTGAACGAGGCCCGTGAGGAGCTCATGAGGATGCTGGCGGAGGACGAGCTCAGGGATGCCGTCCTGCTGGTGTTCGCCAACAAGCAGGTATGCGCGCCCGTGGGCCCCGGCCATGTGGGGTGGGAGGTGGGAAGGGGTGGTCCCTGCTGCCCACTCACTGGAGGTCGTTGGCCTCTCCCACCACCAGGACCTCCCGAACGCCATGAATGCAGCCGAGATCACGGACAAGCTGGGCCTGCACTCGCTGCGCCACAGGAACTGGTACATTCAGGCCACCTGTGCCACCAGCGGGGACGGGCTCTATGAGGGACTGGACTGGCTGTCCAATCAGCTCCGGAACCAGAAGTGAGCCGCGTCCCCTCCCCCCCACTCCCTCCTTCCACCCTGCTTTACTCTCATGTGGTGTGAGTGCCAGAAGCTGTCTCCATGGTCGGTCACAGTGTGCTTCACCATGCTGTAAATGTGCAGACGCAGCCTGCAGCCGGGTTTTTATTTAATGTAAATAGTTTCTGTTCCCAACGAGGCAGTTTCTGGTACTCCTATGCAATATTACTCAGCTTTTTTTATTGTAAAAAGAATCAGCCCACTGTTCAGTACTGAGAAGGGATTTTAGGCTCACGGGGCCCCCAGGAGTTGCTGTCAGGGCCAGCCTGGCGCTCGCTTCTCCTATGGGCGTTAGGTCTGTGTTGGACTCGATTTTGGTGGTTGGTTTTTAACCCAAACTCAGTGCATTTTTAAAACAGATAAAAACACAAGGCAAGGAGAACACTTGAACACACGGAAGGGAGAAACGTGCCTGGTTAGGTTCTGCGGTAAAGGGCTGGCGTCTGGTCCACCGGTGATCCGTTTCCTGTCGGGAACGTGACGGGGCAGAGCCAGCCATGGTCTATCCTGCATGGTCACGACAGGGTCCCCGTGATTTGCTGTCTCCGGTGGTCCTGCCTCCCCTAGCGTTTGTCCTCGCACCTGTGCCCACATGGCCGCCCGGGGGGATGGGCTGGGGGCTGCGGCCACCACTCCCAGGGCCCTCAGGGGGACCCCCGGAGCCCCCGTCCACATGTGCTTTCACTCCCTCAGCCTGCAAGGGTCAGGTTTGCCACCGAAACAACGACGTCTACTTTTTTCTTTCGTATTTTGATAAACACTGAAGAAGCTGGAGCCGTTCAACTTTATCTTGGGGAAATCCTCAGAACTGGTTTATTTGGTGTCGTGGAACCTCTTACTGCTTTCAATACACAATTAGTAATCAACTGTTTTGTATACTTGTTTTCAGTTTTCATTTCGACAAACAAGCACTGTAATTATAGCTACTAGAATAAAGTCTCTTAACTAGTTCACGGCTCTCCAATGCTTGGTGCCACTAGCCACAGCTCATCTCTGGGAACAGGAGCAGGGCACCCAGGCCACTGGCTTCGTGGCAGGTGTGGACGTGGCCCAGTGCCCTGGCAGTGACTGCCTCATTGGCCTCCCTGCTGGCAGTGCCAGGCCATGATAGGGACAGCAGGGTCACTGCATGGGGACTTGGGGGGGGGGGGGGGGCTGCTCTAGCCCATATCACCTGACCTGTTGAGGGGATGGAGGGCAGGAAACCTTGGCCAAGCTCTGTGTTGCTGCCATGTAGGCCATCCTTGAATCCTGAGTGCCCGGACTCCCCAGCCGGCTGTGACTATGGACTGGCTGGAGTCCAGGCTCCCTTGCCCTGGGGATGCCCAGTCTGGCCCTTCCCCCCACTAACAGGTTGAAAAGCCAGGGCCAGGGTTAGACAGACATAATTTTCTTTAGTTTGATTAATTTTCAAATCCGAAGCAAAAGATGCATATGTCCTTATTAGGGATCCAGCCTGGGTCCTGTGCTCACTCTTCTGGGTTGTAAGAGGTCCCCTCCCTGCAGAGGAGGGGAGGCCTGGGGGAGGGAGCTAGTGTCCCACTTTGCCCCCCTCTCCAAGGAGTCCAGGGGGCAGGTCCCTTGGCACCTGGAGTGGGGTGGGGGAGACTCCAGGTGCAAGTCTTCAGCCTCATGATCTACATGTCCAGCCTGTCGCCCAGGGTGAGATGTGACCCAGGTCTCCTGGTACATCTGACATCACTGCCCAGGGACAGGCCCACCAGGGTCTCTGGCTGGTCTTACTGGAACCCAACACCGTCATGTTCTCCCCTGCCCCCTTCTACTGGAACATGTGACAACCTACCCTTGAGTGTGAAATACTTTCCCCTTAAAATAACTTTATTTAAGTACAAAGAGTGAATTAAAGAAAAATAGAAGTAGCTGTACTTGGCCACCCCAAAGCCGCACGGGGGCTCCCCAGGCTATGCCCCCTGCCCTCCCGCCAGGGGCTGTCTCTGGGGCCAGGGCCCCTGCAGGGGGGGCGGGGAGGGGGTCTGCTGGAGGCTGGAAACTGTCAGCAGGTCTGGCTTCAGTCACTGTGGTGGCCACGCCGCTGCCTCTTACAGCTGGGTGAGGAGGAGCTGGAGTCCGACTCGCGCCTGCGACGCCCGGGCCTGGGGAGACCCAGAAACCGAAACCCGGTGGGTGGGTGTGAGGCTGCCCTGCCTACCCCACCTGCCAGGCTGCCCCAAAGCAGAGGCACACCTACCCAGCAGGAGCTGGGGGCAGTGGGGAAGTCCCCCTGCTCCTGTGTGCCTTCTCTTTCTTCTTCTCTTTCTTGTGCTTCTTCTTTTTCTTCTTTTTTTTCTCTTTTCTGCTTTTCCTGTGGCCCTCGGGGCTGCAGGGAGGGGCAGGGCACACAGTGCTGGGCGGTGAGAGGGTCGCACCGGGTACCGACCACCCTCCTACCGCTAAGTAGCGGCAGGTACAGGCAGCTCGAGGGACAGTCCCTTGCGGCAAATGCCACTTGGCCCCCACCCCACCACGTATGCCCCGATAGGTGACAACCCCCACACCCCCTATGCAGGGCACCAGCAGAGCGCAGGGGCTCGCCCTTCCACCTGAGCGCCTCCCTCCAGAGACCCCAGCAGGCAATGGTGACCCAGGCCCCTGAGGGAAGAAGGGACAGAGCTGGGAAGGGCACTAACCCAAAGGCAGCCTGCAGCCGCGCCACTAAGAGAACCAGGAGTCATGTGCAGCCCCACCCTCTCCCTGGGAGCTGGGGGGCGGCCCTTACCCCGGCTCCGCCTTCTCGTCCTCAGACCTAGGCTTCTTCCTGGAGGAGGCCGGAGAGGACGCCAGCCGGCCACTGTCCACGCGATGGTGCTGCGGTGGGAGGCCACTTTGGGGGGGGGGGGGGCGTGGGAGGCGCCCCGGGATGCCAACGGGGAGGACCAGCTCCGGTTTCCCGGACCGGGGAACGGGAGTGCCCCACGAGCAGAGACGGCCAGCCCCTGACCCTGAACCGCGGGATCCCCGGGTGTTATGGGCACTTACCGTGAACACGGAGAGCCCCAGCTTGGCGGCCTCCTTGTCTTCTCGGGACAACGCCACTCGGCCTGCGGAGCCACTGCGGGAACGCGGGTGATAAGCCCCCCTGGTGAGAACGCCCCGGCCTCCCTAATCAGGTCGCACTTCCATTTGGGCAACTTGGGCAGAGTCCACCCCCCTCGCAACACACCTGGAGCTCCCCAGGCCCAGCAGCCGGTCCACTCCCTTCTCCTCGTGGTCCCCTCCTTCCCGCTTACACACCTCGACAAAGTCCTGCGCGGAGGGCCAGAGGGTGCTTGCGGCAGGAAGCTCGCGGCCCTGCCCCGTCTCGCCCCCGCCCCCCAGGAGGATCCCCTCACCTCCTTGCTCAGGCCGGTGGGCTGCTTCCGCACGTTCTTGTAACCTCTGCGGGGGTGGCGCGCGCGAGCTTCAGGGAGCGGCCGGCCTCGCCTGGACCCCTGCTCCTCCGTCCCCGCCGCGCCCCCCCACCCGGAGCTCCCCCAACCCCGCGGGGTTCACTCACAGCGCCGCCATGAGCGCCTCCTGCTCTGCCTGCCTCACGGCCGCCAGCTCCTCCTCCCGGCTCAGTCCCGCGCCGTCCGCCCGACCCTTGGCGTACCAGGTGAGGTCGCGGCCCTTCTGCCAGCGGCCCACAGGGGCCATCAGCGAGTTGCCTGTGGAAATGCAGCGCCGAGGGCTCGGCCCGCGGGGTTTGCGCGGCACCGTCGCTCCCCGCCCCCGCGGCCCGTGCAGCTCCCGCGCTCCTCGCGCCCCCTCGTCCCCCGCACACGCACCCCCCAGCCCCGGGCCTGGCACCGCGCTGACCCAGGTAGTTCTCTCTCTGCTTGTCGGTCTTCACATCCTCCCAGCTGAACTGGTCCTGCCCGCCGCGCACACCGCCCCGGCTGGAGCCGAACATGGTTTCCGGCCGTCCGAAGCCCCGGCCTCGCCGCCCCGGGCGGCGCCGCCGCCGCCGGCGCCCGCTCCCGCGTCGCGTGCCTGAACGTCACACCCGCGCTGGCTTCGCAGGGCCACGCGCGCATGCGCACTGCTTCCTCTCCCGCGCCAATGTTTGGCACGCTTGCGCACGGCTCACTGCTCCACTTCCCCTGGCGTTCGTTCAGCGCGCCTGCGCCCCGCCCTGGGGAAGGAGCGGTCCACGGCGCTGGGCCTGGTCCTGAGCGTACCGCTGGCACAACAGCTGTTGTTAGGAGCCACATTGGGCGGCTGACGCCGGGGTCCAGGGCTGCGCTGGGAGAGGGGCGGCCCCTGGGAACCCCCGACCGGCGCCCCCGGAGATCGGGGTGGGGTGGGGGGTCTCCAAGCGCGCACCTAGGCTCCTGGCGGTCCAGGCTCGCCCCCTGGATCAGCAGTCCCGGAAGGGGGCGGCTCGAAGCGGCTCGGATCCGGAGGAAGCTTCCTAGGCACCCCTGCGGCGTCGTGCACTGCCGCTAAGTCGTCTTGGAGTCTGGGCTTCCCCACGTGTGGCCCGGAGAGCCGACGCCTCCCCTGGGCCGGGGGTTGCCCCGTGGGGGCTCCAGCGCGGGAGCGTAGAGCGCCGGTCTGACACCGCAGGCTCCTCTGGGGAGCGCGTGGGCCACGGGGGCCGCCTGTGGTTGGCCAGGCAGGGTCAGCCACCAGGGTCTGGACACTGGAAGCCGTCAGCACAAAGTCTGAAGTCCCCAAATGGGCCTGGAAGGGGGGGTGGTACTTGCGGAGGTAGGGAGTTGGGGGTCCGTGTATAGGAAGTCCCTGGGTCCTCGAAGGTTGTAGCGTGGATGGAGTTCTCTGCTTGACCAGACTGCTCAGGTCTCCAGAGCTCTCCAGCCAGGCCTTGGGCCTCCGGTCCGGCTTGCCCAGACCCCTGCCCTCAGTACCAGCAGGATCCCATGACCCCTGGTCACCTTGCCCAGGCCCGCCTCCTCCCCGCCCCTCCCCCCGCCTCAGTATCTCAGCAGGATCCCATGCAGATGTGGGGCTGCTGCCAAGCCTGCCTTCAGCAATGATTCCATTAGGTGGCATCTGCCAGAACGCTCCCTACCTGGGTGATTCCTCTTAGTAATTTCTCATCACCAACACCCACCCTTGCCTTTTGGCTACAAATCTCCTGCATCCATCATTGTGACCCCACTTCAGGTAAAGTGCCTTGCCATCTTCAGAAACGTCCTGGCTACCTTGGGATCAGACAAAGCCACTGGGCATCTCACAAGCAGGGAGCTGGAGGGCAGGCACAGGTGCAGGGGCGGTGCATGTCCCTGTAAACCTGTTCAGGGCCAATGTGCTCAGTGGACCAGTGGGGACTCAGGAGTCCAAAGGTGGGTGCTTAGCCCTGCATCCCTCTCTGGGAGCCACAATCAGACGCCAGCACCCCTCTCCAGTCATGCCGGGAACACCTTCCCCACCATCTGTCAGGCAGCGCCCCACAGTCAACACCCAAGGGCAGCCCGAGGCTGGGGCTGGGCCAGCTGCACTTGGAAAGGTTAGGACTTGAGCCTCCAGTCTTGCAAAAGCCTGACCAAGGTGACACCCACCACAAGAGGGAAAAGTAGCAGTCAACCACAGAAGGCTGGTCTGTTGTAGCTGCACCGGGCGGGGCTGCAAGCAGAGTCAGTCCACAACAGGGCCGATGGCACCTCCTGTTGGCATTGGGTATGGCAAAGAGCGCCTCAGTGCTGGGCAGGGTGGGCCAGCCACCAGCAGGGATCCCAGACACCCTGCTCCTTCCACCCACTTCCACCCCTGTGGCTGCCACACTCCCGCCAGGAGAGCCTGTGGTGCCCTGCTGAAAGGCAGTGCAGGGGGGGAGGGGGCTCCAGGCCCCGAGGGCTGACTCTGCAGTTCTCACCCGACCCTGTGGCCACAGAGACCCCTAAGCCAGACACGCACACACCAGAAGGATAGGCAAGGCAGAGGCGGCTTTGTGAACACACTATGTTTAAAGGCTCACCCTCCCCACCCACGGTGTCCCCAACCCGGCCAGCTTCCAGGCACAGTCACTTTTTGGTCCAAAACTGCTTGTACCGCTCCACATCAAAGTCGTCACCCAGCTCTGGCTCCTGCTGCTTTTGCTCTGTGAGCTGGGCCATGCGTTTCCGGAACCGGGTCCTCCTCTCCTCTGGGGACAGGGCGTCCAGATCCACGGGCATCTGTGGGGAGGGGCTCGGTCAGAGGGCCCAGAGCCTTGTCCCTGTCTCTGCTTCACCTTGTCCTCCACTGTGTGGTTCAGGTTTTCACATTTCACTAGGTTTGTCTGCCTTCAAAGCTCTCAGTTGTTTTCCCAAGACTGATGCTGGTCAGACACGCAGCTCAGGGCTGCTCTCTGGTCCTGACGCATGAAGCTAAGTCCACTCTCCCTCCTCCCTCTCCTCATGGCCCCCGTCTCCCCTCACCCATTAGGCTGCCATGGGTGCTGAGGCCACAGCTCCTGCAGGAGCAGCTGCTATGGCCAAGCCTGCCAGGACCCACACCCCAGGGAGTACAGGGGAGGGAGACCCACCTCAAGCATTCGCCGTGGCTCCCGATAGCGGATGTGGATGGTGGAGCCATCCTGCTTGATCAGGAGCACAGGGTAGAGGCGCGCATAGGCTTGCCGGCGCACGCGAGTGAGTGAGGCCCTGTTACTGTCAGCGATCTGGGAGGACAGGTGCAGGTGGCGACACGCAGGGGCAGCCCCCATCAGCACGTGCTGCCGCAGTAGGCTATAGACACAGACGTGCATGTGCATGGGTCAGTGGCTGGTGCGGGGACTGGAGTACCCACAGGGCCCAGCTGTCCAGCTCCCGAGGGTGCACACAGTGACCTGCACCAGAACAGGGCATGGTCATAGCAGCTGGGCAAGATCACGAGGCTTTCAGAGGTGTGAAGGCAGAGGTCGGCAGCGCAGACCCCAGTGGGCTTCAGGCACCATCCCTGGTGAGGACTGGCTGTACAGTTCAGGCACTGGACGCCAGCATCGGGCAGGAACCAGACTTCCAGGGGAACAGAGACCTAGTGCTGTGGCCCGGACCTTCGTGTCTCCCCCGGATTCTGACACTGAAGCCCCGACTCCCATGATGTGCTGTTGGAAGTGGGGCCTCTCAGAGGTGGTTAGGGTGAGAGGAGGTCACAAGGGCCCTCACAGTGGGACCGGTGCCCCTATAAGGCAAGAGACCGGAACACTGCTGTGAGGACTTGGAACCAGGAAGACAGGCCTCCACAGAACCCTGAGCTCAGACTTCCAGCTTCCCCACTCCCAGCCCCCGTGGCCTGCTGCTGGGGCAGCACAAGTGGACTGAGATACCCAGAGCCCACCTGGCTTCTGAGTGTGGCAGATACTCGGCCTCCCTCCGTACAGCAGGGCGTGTGCTCTCGAGTGACAGGACAAGGAAAGCCCCAGTCACCCCACTCTGCTGGGCCGCATGACCCCCAAGGTCTACTCCAGTCTACCCTTCCTGCAAACTCGGCTCTAGCCCGGGTCTGAGGATGAGGGCACCTGACCGACAGCAGAGTTCGAGAACTCCCTGAAATGTCTTGTATGCCAGAGGTGGCCCTGTCTGCCCAGTGTTCTTTCACACGCCCATGGCAGGCAGGCATCCCAGTAGCTCCCCACCTGACTTTGCCAAGGCTCTCGCTGCATGAGCAGCCCCATCCAGCCCACACCTCCCACCTGGTCCCCACATCGGCTCCACGGAGACCCCGTACTCTGCAGGTGGGGGTGTCTTTCAGCTCTCAGGCCTGCCCCTTCCACAAGGCAGGCTGACCGCGTGTCCTGCAACCTCACAGCCTGGCACAGTGCCACCTGCCTTGTGTGGAGCTCCTACCACACCCAGCTTTCCCAGCAAGCCCTCGGGCCGAGGGTACATCTCCTCCCCAAGACTGCTGTTATCAGGGCAAGAACCACACTGCATCTGCCGTTAAGTCACTGGGCACTCAGTATGGCAACAGAAAGCCAGTCCCCGCCATCAGTCATGCAGATGGTGGACAGGACACAGTCACCTCGGAGGACCCTGGGTTGGTGGACTGGGGAGGCTTCCAGAAGGGCTGGAAGGGATGTTGGGTGTTCCCTCACGGTAACAGCGTTTCTAACATGAACTTTCTTGGGAACGCTGCACTGGAGTCCCTTACCTAGCTTCACACTACCCGCAGCTTCCGGTGCCCCATCCCTCTCCCTAGATGCCACAGAACCGACTAGGACCCTGCTCTCCTTTAGCTCTGTGGCAACACTGTGATCACACCATACTTCTCATCAGGGAGAGAACACGACATCAGGGGAAGGGCAGATGAGGACACAGTTCCAGTGGGAGCAGTGGGAAGGACCCAGAGTCAGGCTGGGCTGTGCGATCTGAATAGGAAAGTCACCACCACCACCATGTGTTTGCTGCTAAGTGCTCACAAGTCGCTTCTGTTCTGCCCTTGACACCTACCATATCATCTGTATGTACTTGTACATACTCTTCAGATAAACACGCTGGCTAGGCGGCCCCATGACAGCAGTCCCTAGGGGCCTGGAAGTCCCTGCTTACCCAAGCAGACTGCCCATGGTGGCCATTCTTCCCGGGGGGCCCCTGTGGTACATGGAGGCTCAGGATCAGCCACTGGCCTGGTGTGCAACCTGCTGGACAAGAAGAAAAAACACTGATTGACTAGTTATTTATGTCTTAGGTTTTTATTTCAGAGAGAGATAGGGGAAAGGAGCAGAGAGAGAGAGAACCTTAAACAGAGAGAGAATAGACACAGAGCTCAAACCCACAACCCTAGGATCATGACTTGAGCTGAAATCAAGACTCAGATGGTCAACTGACTGAGCCACCCAGGCGCCCCTTGAGAGTTTTTTAAAAGACAAGGTTTCCCACCTAACCATCAAATCCCAGCCAGGAAGAAACCACAGACCTAAGGACGTCTACAACAGGGAAGTTATCACCGGGTTTCTGCCAGTCCCTCCCAGTAAACCGTCAGGCTCTCAGCCCTGACTTACCATTAGCATCATCCGTGGGGGTGGGGGTGGGGGTGGGGGGTGGGGTTCCTGAACTCCGGATGC